AACATCATCATCATCATTCATCATCATCATCATCATCATCATCAGCATCAGCATCAGCATCATGCATCATAATCATCATTCCATCATCATCATCATCATCATCATCATCATCTCACATCACTCATCTCTCTCCTCCTCCTCTTCCTCCTGCTCCTCCTCACCTCCCTCTCCTCCTCCTCCTCCTCCTTCTCCCTCCTCTCCTCCTCCTCCTCCTCGTCCTTCTGCTCCCTCCTCCCTCCTCCTCCTCCTCTCCTCCTCCTCCGCCCTCCTCCTCCTCCTCCTCCTCCTCCTCCTCCTCCTCCTCCTCCTCCTCTCCTCCTCCTCCTCCTCCTCCTCCTCCTCTCCTCCTCTCTCCTCCCTCCTCCTCTCTCTCCTCCTCCTCTCGTCGTCCACTTCCTCCTCCTCTTCCTCCTTCCTCCTCCTCGTCTTTCCTCCTCCTCTTCCTCCTCCTCCTCCTCCCTCCTCCTCCTCCTCGTCTCCATTCCCCCCTTCCTCCTCGGCTCAGCGCTCGGCGGCGGCGGAGGCCCACGCCAGCGGGCCGCCGCAGCGTTCCAGAGCATTCCGGGAGGTTGTCAGAACGCTCGCAGAGCGTTCTGGAGCACATTTGGAATGGCCGCGGCGCACGAAGCTCGGGGGCGGCAAAGAGGGGGGCGATGACTAGGGGGGTGGATATCATGGCGTGGGCCATGTTATTTCCTTAGATTTCATGGCACCTCTTCTTATTTTCATTACGTTCCTGGCCCCCCCCCCCCCGGGGCCGCGCACACGCCGCCGGCCATGATTTGCGGCCCCCCTCTTGGACGTCCCCCTCTTGGCCGCCCCCGAGAAGCAGTCAAGAAGTTAAAGTAATATCCTGTTTGGGTTCAAGACGGGCTCTGGTTTTCGGGCCGTTCCTTAGGTCGGTGTTCCTATTCGCGGACGACGCTAGCCGTGGCCAGAAAAGCTCCTTCCTTCCTCACCTGGCATGTTGCATCTCAGCAAGATGACTGCACATCCTCTAGAAACACCAGGTTCCAGAGAGACCCGATTTATCCTGGTCCGACTTGGCTTCATCTTACCTCTTGCTTGGACTCCTCTTCCTCCTCGCCGTTGACCTTGCCGCTGCGGGGCGCGGGTTCGCTGCGCGTCGCTGCGCGCCGCTGCGCGCCGCTGCGCAGCTACGAGGCCCGCTGTCCGTGCGGCCGGCGCCGAATGTACCATGTGCCGGTGCACTTCGCATCCGGCTTCAAGGAAAACGCTGCACAGCGCGCGCCATCGCCAGCTGTGGAGAGGCAAAAACGTGCCGACGCGGGGCGAGGACAGACGGGTTATGAGGAAAATCCTGGAGGCCTTGCGCGACGCGTAATAGCAGTATTATCTAGTCCACACGTCAGCTCCGTAAGCTATGGGTCGACGCTCGCGCGGCGATGCTCCAGAGTCCGGAGTCAGTCCGACGTAAATCCGACGTAATTCCGACGTAATCCGACGTGAACCCGACTGAAATCCGACGTGGATCCGACGTAGATCGGCTCTCGAGTTGCCGTGCGAGGCCTCCAGTATTTTCCTCCTAAGACGGGCGCGGCGTATCTCGTCCTCCTCGATTGTATTTCTTGCCTTATGATGCTTCTGTTCTTTCACTTCTGCCTTCACCCTGCTCCCTGATCTCCCCCTTCCACACATCAACTCGTCCTCGTCGTCTTCCTCATTGGCCCTCCTCGTCCTCCTCAACTTCCTCATCCTCTTCGCTCACCTCCTCCTCCTCACCCTCGTACTCGTCCCTGTCCTCCCTCCCCGCATCCTCCTGCACCTCCTTGTTATTCTTTCTCCTCCCCCTCATCATCCTGCGCCCCCCCCTTCTTCCACCTACACATCCTCCTACACATGCTCCTTCCGGCCTGGTTCTTATCCGTTTATTTTGTCTCTTCTTTTCCTCTTTCTGCCCCCCTTACCTTCTCCTGATCCGCCTCTTTCTTCTTCTTCTCTTCGTTGTCCTACTCACTTTCTCGTCGCTGTCCTCATCCCTCATCTCCTGCTCCTGCTGTTCAACCTTCTCCGCCATCCACACTCTCATCACCTTTCATATTCACCTACAGCATCATGACCGCCGCCATCAATCTGGTCCACATGATTCCGCCTCATGCACCGTGCTTCGGAGATGGAATGGCGCGTTATTGTCACACACGTCAAGGAAGCGCCAAAGCGTTTGGCGTTAGGGGTGATCAGCGCTTTGAAGTGTGGCTGGACCACGAGCATCAGAGTGCTTGTGGACTTGGCGCACGCTTGTCAGTTCGGTCGTCGAGCCTGTGATAGTTGGCTTCATTGTGCCATAATCCCTAAGTTGTGCCGGCTGGTGGATGATTTGTCCAACTGGTTGAGGATGGGATTGTCATCGACCATTCTGGAACACTTCAACTCTTACGCGCTTGGCGTTTGATCATGCTACAAGGCCAACGTGTCAAATGTTGGATGCATACGCGCCTGCCCTCAAGCCTGGTGAGCATCCACATCACACATCACCAGGCACTCGACCAAACCCGTCGGTCTCTAGTCCGAGTGTCTGAGTCGGGGCTACATCTTCCCACGTTGAGCCTGGCTCGATGGCTCTTGGGGGCGCAAAAGTGGCCAATGCTTCGCTGCACAATCCGATTAATGAAGCGTCTCGCATGCGAGATGCAGCACCAGCATTTCTTTAAAGCTGGCAGGGGCCCAAACGTGCCCCCTCAGCTTGGGCCCCGCTCACGAATGGTCTCTTATGAAGCGCATGATAGTCCGATGGCAGTGGTCGCCCTTCCCCTCCTCATCCACTCGAGGAGGAGGTGGAGGAGGATGTGGAAGACGGGGAGGAGGCGGAGGAGGAGGAGGAGGAGGAGGTGGAGGTGGAAGAGTTACTGGAGGATGAGCAGGAGAAGGAGGCAAAGGGAAAGGAGGGAGGGAGGAGAACGAATAGGGAGGGAGCGGGGGGAGAATGAGGAGGGGGAGAATGATGAGGAGGGGCAGCGGGCGGGGATTGGGCGAGGAGGAGAGGGCGGCGAGGGAGAGGGAGAGCTGCGGAGGAGAAGGTGCTCCAGGCTCCAGGGTTCTTCGCCGAGCTCTGTCGTCACGTGCTCCCCTCGGCCGCCGAACGCACCCAGAACCGAGCCCCTCTCGGCGGCTGATGCGGACCGCACTCCCGCCGCCTCGCCAGGCATCCTCCGAGGCGCGTCTTCTGTTTCCTCGACCCGCGCCCTCAGAGGTCCCGACCCCTGACCCCTTCCCCGAGGGGTAGCTGTGCGCCCCAGAACCATGAATGCGGAAACAACTGCTCCCGGGGCCCGAAGGTGGCTCCCGGGGGGGCCGAAGTTCGGTGATCCTCAGGACGTGTGTTAGCCCAATGTGTGTTTAACCCGTTCAATCCAATTCGTAGATCATTCCATCGCCTTTCTCGTATTGAAGGGCCTCAATGGGCAAGCACACGTTGGCGCTAACACACGTTCTGAGGATCATCGAGAAGTGAAGGATAAGCGCAGCGACTGCCAAAGCCGATCGTCGCCACTGGAAGCGAGCCCCACCCCGCATGCCCTGCTCGGCCGCCAGGCGGCTGCAGAGGCCAGGGGTTGGCTCTGAGGGGGATCGCCCCGGATGTGCATTGCTCGGGGGGGGGGGCGTCGGCGGTGCCAGGTGCCTTTCTCCTCGTTTGTTGTTTCCTTGCCATCGCTCGGACGTGTGCATGTTTTGTCGGCGAGGACCATCGAGGAGCATCCTGGAACACCAGGCAAAAGCACCCACGAAACCGAGCGATGGCACGTTTCCCGAAGTTGAAGCCCTGTCACAGAGACGCAGCGCTCGGACGCGGGGGCACTGCGCCCTGCGTCGTTCCGGACTCGGCCGCCACCAGCGCCGGGCCCCTCCCTGGGGGCACCGCGGCCGGGAGACCCCCGCCGCCCCCAACCAAGGGGACCCCCGAGGGCGCTGTGGGGCCGGGGTGGGCCCCTGCCGCCCCCTCGGCGCTCCCTCGGGGGGCTGCTCCGGCTGCGCCCGCGCCGCCGAGGTGGCTCTCGAAGGCGTCGTTGGCTCCTCGTCTCCACGGCCCCCTCGCAGGCCTGGCGTCGGCACCGCCGGCGAAGTCCTCGCGGGCCTGCCTTCTCCTTCCTCCTGTTGACGTGGCACGGACCTGCGTGAGCACTGATGGGCTGTAGCGCCACTGCGGCAAGCAAAGGAGTGGCGACCGCCGACTTGGCGATGTGCCCTCAGCACGGGCTGCAAGCTGGCAGCCAGTTCCGAAACAGGAGTGACAGAGACAAACGAGAAGAGATTATATGGCCGCAAGGGCACATGGGATTGTAGCAAATGCTCGGCAACCGATAATCACGTTCAGAACGTGGACGCCGAAAGGGGAGGCTAACTTAGAGCTAGCGTCATGCGTGCGGCAGCAAGCGTGAATGTGTTACGTATTGAAGATGATTCGTGGCAGCGTGCTTAGTGGGCTGTGGGATGACAACTACAACGGTAGGGGGAATAGAAGCAGGAGGAGGAGAAGCAGCACGGCAGAGAGCAAACCGTTGCAGGGGAAAGGGAGAAGGAGTCGTTGCGCGTCTCTGGGCATTCTGAGCGGGAGGTGTGACAAGTGATCTCGAAACTCGAATCCCGTTCAGGAACAAGTAGGCTGCTGGTCACGGTCTACTTGAATTTGATCGGTGGATAATTCTCATACTGCGCACTGTGTGCCAGGCTCTCCCTCCTCCCCATGCGCCGGCGCACAAGTGCGGAAGGTCTGCTTGTCATGAAGGGGAGGGGTCCTGGGAAACGTGTCTCAGACCCCAGGGCTTTCCCCAGGACCAGTCCTTCAACCAGAGTCGTCTTTTGACGGTCATGGGGAGGAACCCAGGGGCCCGATATTGGCGAAAAGTGTGCAGGACCGCTTCCCTCCAGATCCCTTCGCCTTCACGCCAATCTGCGCTCTGCTGGCCAGTATGCAGAAAGGCCGAGCCCCCCTGAGGTGCCCATTGGATCGCCACGGCGCCGCGCACCCATCGGCCGCAGCCATGGCCATCTACGCGGGGAGCGGCGTGCGCTTCCCTGGGCGCTTCTGCCCCCCCCCCTTCGAGGCTGCGGCCCAGCGGCAGAGGGGCCTCCTGGCTGATCTCCTCTCGGCGACTCGTGAGAGCGAGCCTTCGCCGGAGTGACTCTTTCGTGCGGGCCCAGAGTCCCGCCGACGCAGGCCGTCGCGCTTGGGTGGCTTGCATTTGGCCTCCACGGTTGCCCCCGAAAAAGCCACACACACACACACACCAAAGGTCACTCTTGCCCAGGGTCACTCCTGCGCGGAGCCGAACCACGGGGGGGGCCCACCTACTCGCGTCGAGGAACAATGAGGACGTGAGGGTTTGGGTGATGCTCTGCCTCGCAGGGGGTCTTATTGGTTCCCAGGGTCCCATACAAGAAAACGGATTAGTTCAAACGACTGGCTCTGGTCAAAGGGTCCACTTTTCCAGGGGTCCACGTTGCAAACAGATCACGGCGACGTCGGAGTTTGGGGCGGCGGACTCCCCCAGCTGCCAGGTCTTTGCCGCCGCCACCGCCGTCATCGCCGCCGTCGTCGTCGTCCGTCGTCTGTCGTCCGTCGTCGGTCGTCCGTCGTTCGTCGTCCGTCGTCAGTCGTCCGTCGTCGTCGTCGTCCGTCGTCCGTCGTCCGTCGTCCGTCGTCCCTCGTCCGCCGTCCGTCGTCCGTCGTCCGCCGTCGTCAATCGTCCGTCGTCGTCGTCGCTGTCTTCGTCTTCGTCTGGCACGGCGGGGCGGGGCACAGGCCCTCCCGCTGTCGCGGGCGGAGCAGCTCCTGCAGGGCCTGGTCGACGCGCCCGCCGCGCGCGGCCGCCGGGCTCAGGCGGGGACGGCGGGCGGCGACTCCTCAGCCTCCTCCTGCCTCCTCCTCCTTCTCCTCCTCCTCCTCCTCCTCCCTCTCCCCCTCCTTCTCCATCTCCCCTCCAGGCCCCCATCTCGCTCCTCCTCCCCCGAGGGAAGCCGGTGGATTCCCGAGCCCAGTCGGCGGCAGAGGTGCGGTCATGAGTGCTGGCTCGGTGCGCCTCTCCTCGCCCTTGCAGCGGGTGCTCGAAGCAGCGCAAAGAAGCTGCAGCCCTCGACCACCCCCACCGCCACCACCGGTCGCACCCCATTCCCAGACAGCCCAGCTCCATGTGATCGCTCCACCATCACGACGCGCCCCCCCCCCCCCTCACGAAAACCGACCGCCCCCCCACCCCCCCCTCTTGTCGCAATCCAATTGCGAACGCCCGCCCCCTCCCCCCCCCCACTGTTGCCCCCATAAGCATAAACTTCCGACTGTGCTAGACGCGAGAGGATCTCTTCGATCTGTGCTGGAGCTTCCTGGCGGCGCCTCCGGCGCGCCCCTGGCGCGCTCTGCGCGCCAGGGAGGAGGGGCCCAGCGCAGATCCACTGGTTCTGGCCTCCACGCTGCCGCGCGACATGCTATGCTCCATGTCCCACCACTCAGGCGTCCAGTGGCGAGCCTTCCCTGGCCTCCCGCCCCAGGGAGCGGAGCGACACGCTATCCGCTCGCATGGCACAGCGTCACAGCGTGTCGCCGGGGCCGCCGCCGCGACGCGCTGAGCAAGAATTCCCGACTGTGGGTCTGGCGCAGCCTCGAGGCGCAAGGGCCTGGACGCTCCGGGTCTCAGGCCCCTCCGCCTTCGGAGCCATCTGCGCTCGCTCCCTGGGTCGGGGGACGTTGAGGGGCAGGGCGCCCAAAGGCCCTGGAGCAACGAGGACCGTCTCCGCCAGCGCCCTGCCCGAGGCGGGGGAGGGCGGATGGAGGGACATTTCGTGGCCCAAGGGGGGGGCGGGGGGGCAGTGCCCCTGAGGTGGAGCTCGACCTCCTGTGGGCCTCGCTGTAGCTCGGGAGTCTGCCTTCCGGGTCCTGTCCAGGAGGGGAGGCCCATGCTGGGCCCTGAGGCTCACAAAGAGCAGCCCGAGGCCCTGAAGTGAGAAGTCCATGCGAAAAGTGGCATCGAGAAATCCAGAGCTCAAGTGATTGTGTGGAAAAGGCTTCGTGCAAACATCCCAACGCCTTGCGCTCTTGTGCCGGAAGAGTTGGCAAAGGGGTGCTTTGGGGCACGACGGGCGCCTGAAAGCGGGTCCTGATGCCGGATACCCCGAAACAGCATAACCATAGCATGTCAGACGTATGCGCGGAGTTTCTGCGTCTGCGCCCAGCCATTTGCCTCACATCATTGGCGGAGTCAGGCAATCCCGAGGACCTCCGAGAGTTTGTGCTTATGTGGTTGATGCCTGTGTTCTGATGAGAGAGGGCCCGAGCTGCCAGCCCAGGTCCCACAGGTGATGGGAACGTTGATGTTTTGTCCACTGTCACGATCCGCAGTGCAGTATCTGCCTATTCGGCGCCGTACCCCAGGACCTCGTGGAGGGGTGTACATGGATGCTTACCAGCTCCAGAGGGCAGGAATAGCTCATATACATGTATTCCATTGCCTTGAGGCATGATTATGGAAGACGTGGTCACCAGTTTGCGTTGATTGCCCTTCTTTCGACGCCCCCCTACCGGCCTCCGACGCACTGTGCATCTGTACAGCACGTTGGGCTCCGGAGGTCTCGACCCCACATCACACGTGTTTTCCGCGCTATGGGTTGGTCTCTGTGGCTTGGGACCCAACGGGGCGTGCCTCCAGGGGGCCCAGGGTAGCATCACAGACAGAAGCCGCCATGGCTTCTTCAGGAGGTCGGGTGAGGTCGATCATCATCATCACCATCACCATCACCATCACCATCATCATCATCATCATCATCATCATCATCATCATCATCATCAGCATCATCAGCATCATCATGGCTTATGGGCCACGTCTCCAGTCATCATCATCATGACTTATGAGCCACGTCTCCATCGCAGACAAAAAGGGAGCTGGGAAGGAATCATCATCATCAGCAGCAGCATCAGCATCAGCATCAGCATCAGCATCAGCATCATCATCATCATCATCATCATCATCATCATCAGCAGCATCATCATCAACCTCTCATGCGGGCCGGTGCCCGCCCACCCAAAGAAGGTGCCCGTCGCGCGCTTCCTTGCCCTGCTCGCGGGCGGCAGCGCTCCTGCCGCAGCCGCTCGCCCGGCCAGCTC